ATATCTGAATCACTTAACCCAGTTTTTTAACGAACTCGCCAAAAGAACCGATTCGCAGAGAAGAGTCGAACTTCCCATCACTAAAGCTAACTGGCTAATGCTAACCACACACGAGCCAACAGGCTCTAACACCCCATTTACACTGCAAACGAGCGACGCGAAGAGACAAAACAAGAACACGCCCATTATATTAAACGAAGCTACAATGCCAGCGCGAGAAGATTATGGATTATAATGGGGATGTATTAACGTTAATTGTGTCGCGTCTCGTGCAGTGTACACACGGTGCGCATGACACCTCCACCATTCGCGCGACCAGCGCTGCTACACTTGAAATCACTTATTGTAACGCATCTGATAATCCAAATGAGTTACATGTCGCCTGTTCATCATCCAAGGGTTTCAAGTGTTTACAAACTTACCCTGCTCCTCCCTCTCTCGCTCGTTCCCTCTCTCTCCGCGTTCCCACCTTTGGAACGGCTTCATCCAGCTAGCTCACTATATGTAAATCTCGCGATATGTTGATGTAATACTCAAACCCAGATTAAAGTCGTTACGTAACAGATGTGAAACCGTGATGAAAAATCCGGTGCTTTAGTTTACACATCTCTGTGCTGCACACCCAACGCGTCAAATGAAAACGGGTATTACAGACGGGGGGAAATGCTCTTAATAAAGCCATTAAGCATATAACGGAATGATAGCCATTAACTCCACTTTAAATTATTTAAATCCAAAATACGTATCAATACTTGCTACGTTGCGTTTAAAGTTTAAGAATTAGCAAGTATTGATAGTGTGCGGGTTCGTTACTTATTTTGGATTCAACTTTGTTTGATTTTGTTCCCATGCACCTATCCTCGTCTCAGCTCCTAAAGGGATTCAATAAAACCTTCAAGTTAACAGACAGACATCACTATTCTGACCTTCAGATGTGAACAAGCAACAGAAACATTTAGAATTTAGCAAATGAATGCATTTACCTGGACAGTTGCGCTTGTTGGGTCAGGTGGTGTAGATGCAGTGCTTGAAGCGTTTGATTGGCTGCATGAAGGTTTGGGGGCAGAAATGGGCTGGACGTGCTTTGCAGTCACTGATGCAAGGTCTGGAGGCTGAAAGGTTGTTCTAACATGATTAAGGATGCACAATATTATCGGACCAATATCAGAATCGCCTGATAATGGCTTTAAATATAAATATCGGCATTGGCCTGATATGAAAAATTATGCAGATAAGAATACATGAACTCAGGGTGTGCTAGCGATTAGATCACGTCAGCATTGTGGCTCATTCTTGAAGCAAAGTTTTGCTTGAATGATGATTAGATTCACGGTTTTGGATCCTGCATTTAAACTGAGAATGCATGTACAGTAGACTTGTGCCGGTATTTGGTAATGCAATATATCACAGTAATGAATATGCACGATATTGTTATCGTGGCCACTTCTAAATACCGTGAATACTTCTATATTCCAAATTATTCCAAATTTTGAATGCATTGTAAGAATACTTTTCCCATCAACTGGTCAAAATGCACAACACCGCTGTAAGCTGAGTGAAACAGGCGTGGGCACTGATGTAAACAAGCGCTGACGAGAAGCACATGGCGGAACATGCGAGACGCTCTGGATGAAAACGCACTTTCACTCTGACAGCAGATGGCGCTAAACTGCATAATATTAATAATTCATGTAAATGCAGCCGTTAGCCCGGAAACCCTGTAAACAAAGCAGCTGCATACTTTGTTTCTGAATCGTGTTTAAATGATTTAAACAGCCATTCAGATTTGTGTATTTGCTATGATGTTCATCACAGCTCCAAATACTTAAATATTTAGACTTAATAGGCTATTTATTTTCAAACTTTTTACATTTTAATCTGGACTACAACATGCCCTAGATATTGTTTGAATGTTTTGATTCTTTATTGTTCGTCACACTTTACATTAGGGCTTCATTAGTTAATTTATTAGTTAAACTGCCAATGAAAAATTCTTCTGAACATTCATTAATCTTAGGTATTCCAATATTTAATAACACGTTGTTAAAATCGAGAGTTGTAACTGTTATTTAATGAGTTAACATGAACTAAGACTTGTATTTTTTTAAACAAAGATTATTAACTTCTGTAGCAAATGTAGCTATTGCTCGTTGTGAATGTTAATGCATTAACTAAGGTTAACTAATGAGGTCTTATTGTAAAGTGATACCTATTGGTCTTTATAGTTCTTTTGCACTTTAATCTGTGTAAAACTTTTAACTTTATACATTTTTCTGTAAATTGCTTTATTGCATTTAAATGTTCAGTTATTTCTGTTATAAGAAAAAAGTTATTAAACCTGTTATACTGTATTATGACAGCACTTTTTTTATCGTGATAATACCGCATACCGTGATAAAAGCATGAGCAATTAATCGCAACATGAAAATTTGATACCGGCATATCCCAAATGTACAGAATGATGCGTTTGGTGTGTGATAGACTAAACAGTAATAGTAGGTGCAGTGGCTGCAGCGGCAGCCTCCCCAGGGTCCTAATGCCCACTCAGTAAGGAGTTCCGTAGGGGGCGCTGTTGGCCTACATCTAATAAAATGAAGCTTATATAAACAAAAAAATTAATAAAATACTGATTTATTCATTAACGTGTAATTATTATTTTTTAAACAAATTGTGAGCTCTAAAAGTTTCAGAATTTTTACAACTTGCTTTAGACCATTTACAAATGTTAAATCATAAAATAAAATGTTAAGGTTACCACTACATCTTTCTAAAAAAAAAATAAAAATAATAATAATAATTTAATTAATATATAGTTTATTTATAGTTATTTTCAAATCTTCAATGTACTGTCATTATAAAAACTTTGTTTAATTCTAACAAATAAGTTCTTGTTAAAAATGAACTAAAAATAATTATATATCGGTATCGGCCAAAATGAGTTGAAAATTATCAGCATATCGAATATCGGCAAAAATCCTATATCGTGCATCCCTAAACATGATAAATATGATCTCCACTTGTTACAACTGCCCCTAATCTTCCTTCGTGTAAAAGATTGTGCTTACTTCCTTTCAGCCAAAATTTGTACATTAGACACATTTTTGCCAATAAATAGGCTACTGGCTAACTTGTCCTGTAGATCTCATATCAGGTCAACCCCCATGCTATATCTATAATGCATGTACTTCCCAAGACACCATCAGGAAACTCTCATACACAGAGCAAAAGACGATACATGCAAAACAGGGTAACATGACAGATCTGATGACAATGCACTGACAATTCATTCACTGTGAAAGGCATCATGCGTCAAGATGCAGCTTTTAGCGGAGTCATGATGGTCAATCACTATGGAATGCTTCAAGTGATGATACAGCCCATCCCTTAGGTACAACGTTAGTCTAACATTAGACTAAACATTTCAATCACCACAATGCAGTTCTGCCATTCTAATCTTTTAAATCAGTTTGCATGGTACATGAACATGCACAAGATGACAACTGAGGAAAAAGAAATGCTCCGATAAAAGCAGATCACATCTACCTGAAGGCATTGATTACATTCTTTCTGGAATAAAGTGGAAGTCTAGAAAGAAAAGGAATAAAGTCATTGTGACTCCAGTGTGCCAAACACAAAAGCTCCGCCTCACTTTCTGCATACGAGATGAAATCAACATGGGTAAACTTCATTTTCACACTTGGACAAAAAGTGCAACAAATTAAATTGGAAAGGATGCACCAGCAATGCCAAGGTCATGAGTCTGATTCTTAAAAAACAAACATTTTCAATGTATAGCTTCAGTAAAATGTAAGCCGCTTTGGACAAAAGTGTGAGCCAAATGAAGAGATATAAAACCAAATCTTTACAAACATATTTGAAATGCAGCAAAGCAAGTTAATGTCTACAAGAGGGTTTTAATGTGACCTTCCTAAAACAAGTCAGTTTTCATTAAAACCAGCCTATTATTAAAAGGAATAGACTAAGAAAGAGGTTCTTTAAACAAATTGTACGCTTCAGGATCTTACCGGTTGCGGGGGTAGTTGTGCGTAAGGCTGATTGGAGAGGAGCCAGTTTTGTAGTTTCCTGCTGGGCCAAAGCCATTAACAAATGTGCTGTTTGGAAATGGAGCCTGCGAGATAAATCAACAGCTGAGATTAACCCACACATCCAAGTTGAATTCACATTTTTGTGACACATGGCCAAAGCACCTCTTTACATTGTGATATGCTAAATGAACCAAATAACTGTTGGCATGGTAACCGTTCAACTGCCCTGACTACATTGCAGCAGGTCCCCTGCAGCTCAGCCTGCAATCACAACCCCGATTACAAACTAGGCGATTATACCTTCAGCATTCATGACTGTAATACAAAAGGTAACAAAGTGACCCTCAGATCTCATAATCTTAACGCTCACTGGGACAGGAGTGACAGAGACTTAAAGGAGAAAGAGACAGAAAGAAGAAAAGCGAGATAAAAGTAGCAGGAAAGGAGAAGAAAAAGATCTCCCAAAATCTTCTGATCACTCCCTGCTTCCCTCCATGCGCTTAGTTTATCATCACTGGGTCAAAACAACCAAATTTGCTCTAAACATCTTTCATATACAGCTACATTTGTGTTTCTGAACATAGGTTTTAGATTCACTTTTTTTTTTTTTTAAATAAACAAAATTGTTTTGTTTTAGCAAGGAAGCATTAATTTCATCAAGTGACAATAAATACTCACATTGTTACAAAAAAAAAAAAAGTATATATTTTTTTGAGTACCATCAGTGTGATATGGGGGGGGTCATATAGCCTATTCCAACATTACTTCAAGCTAATCGACAAAGCCTTTATTACAGTACGAGTATAGAATATATTTCTGCGTCATTCGGTGATAAGAAGCCACATCAGATCAGGACGGAAGTTATTTCTAACATTTGTTTGATGTTGTGGAGTATGTTAATGGTCTGTTGGACAACAGGTTTAGAAACGCTCCGCATTAGAAGTAATGCTCAGCTTATGTTGCTTTTTCAGATGCACCATGCACGCGTTTCCTCATCTCAGCGTGCGACTCAAGGACACACAAACAGAGCCAGTTTGGAGAGAAATAAAACACACGGAAATTTAAATGCAAAACCGGAAAAAACTGTCTGATTGGTTGAACTCATTTTTCTGTTGCTCGTTTACTGCACGTGGACAGGACACCAGGTTTTTGCGTAGTTTAGAGTGACAAATTGAACGCACACATCCAGGGTGCTTAAATTACAGCTGATCTAACAAGAGGTGGCAGCACAATGTACACTCACCATAATTGGTTTGCCCTGAAAGGTTTTGACTTCCTCACGCAAGTATCTGTAAGCCTGTAAAACAATGAGACATGAGTCAATCCAGAAAACATTTCCGTTATTAAACCAGCAGAGAAAATGCAAAAACACTTTTGGCATTATTAATGCAACAACAGCACACCGGATGTGCGTATTTGTTATTGTATCAGCCAATTACTATGGCTGTTGTAATGCCTTTTTAGCTATAATAAATTAATATAAAACACAAAGTGTAAATATTTACCTACAGCTTTTTAGATTTCATTATGACCATATTTGATGAATAATTATAATGGCAAACAAAGTTAAACATCATACAGATTAAAAAGTCATAAACCATTATAGTAAATAAATTAATGCGGTTTTTACTTGCAAATAACACAATATGAAACATTCCTCACATGATTTTTACCAATTATTTATACAAACATTTATTCCATGAGAAAGTCCCTTTGTGTGTGTTTGTCAATAATACCTGCTGAGCATCAGTGTCAGACTGGAATGTGATGTACCAGTTGTTATTGTGTGCAAACTCCACACTGATAACCTGCGGACACTTCTCACTTTTAAACAGGGCCTCCACCTCCTGACAGAGACAAAAGCATCAGTCAGCAAATAAAAAGAATAAGTGAAAACTACTGACAAATAGGAGGCCAGATATCCCACAGATCTTATAATCTCACAGTCATTAGGGCAAAATATACTGTACAGAGAGAGGGGGGG